CGTGTCCCCGGTGTCACCACCTGAGCTGACATCAAGGGTCGGACGCTCATCTCACTGAGCCAACCAGACAACCCGACATAGTAATTTTTAACTATAATTTTGCATCTAGGGTTAGTAGCCAAGAAGCAAAAGACTTACAGTAAATCCAATGAGGGAAACAAAGTAACTTCGGGGTGGGGGTGGGGGACAAAAAAAGGAAAGAAAGGTGAGAAAAACCGGACAGGCCATCATCATCATGAGAAAAAGCATTTTTTTAAAAAGGATTAACAGAAGGTTAAAGTTGAGGCTGTGGGGAAGCTGCTGGCAGATGGGAAAAAAACCCACCTTGGCTAACTAACAATTAGAAAATGACTTAATAAAGAGATTGGAAACGATATGGCATTGGAATAATAACGACCATCTTAGACAAATCTAGTTCTGGGAATGGATTGCCTCTCTTTTTTATTTTTTGTTTTTATTATTTTTTTAATGTTTATTTATTTTTGAGAGAGAGACAGACAGAGCGTGAGGGGGGGGAGGGGCAGAGAGAGAAGGAGACACAGGATCTGAAGCAGATTCCAGGCTCTGAGCTGTCAGCACAAACTGACAGCACAAACGAACCGGGAGATCATGACCTGAGCTGAAGTTAGATGCTTAACTGACTGAGCCACCCAGGCGCCCCTCCTCTCCTTTTTATTTTATCAAAGGCTGGGGGAAGTCTGACGAAAAATAAGAAGGAATGAGGACTAAAAGGAAAAGACTGGAAGAGGAAATTCTGAGTCTGAAAGAAATAACTGTTGGATTCGTGTGCCGAAATGCCCCAAGGTGAGTGCTTCCAAGAAATGAAACCACTAACATAAGTGATTTGAGAAATTGAGCATAACAGAGCGTCTTAGAGGAGAGAATGGTTGGAAAGAATACAAAGGAAAGAATGAAATCTGGTTCCGAGAGAGAAGACAGGCCATCTGCAGCGTTGACCGAGGAAGAGGCTTTTGTGTGACGTTTCAGCAGTGAATTGTGGCCTGAGCCAGCCACTTCCTGGTGTATGTTGCACTACGTGCGGCCTCGACAATGACTGCTGCCTTTTTTTTTTTTTAATTCACAAAATCAAAGTATCATGGAGCTTTTCCAACTTGCCTGAGGCTCTAAGCAATGAGAGAAAAGGATGAATCATGTGTAAGAATACGGCTTTGATGAAAAAGCCCTCAATCATCCAATGACATGATCGATTTAACAATCCCCATGATGTCTGTGTGACAGAGAAATGGCTATTTTTGGACTTCACGTAGAAGAAATGTATCATAAGAACGTTCATAGGTATTTGTGGCATAGGTCCACTTAGAGCATCTCAAAGTTCCATTCTTTGATGCAGCCTGCTTTTTGTATTTGTTCTTGTGGTAACAGTTTGTTTTGTAAGAAATAATTATAAAGGCTTTTTTTTTTTCTGAAAAATTAAAGAAACAAGGTAGCAGTAGTAGCCAAAACTTAATAGTGCTTACTATGTGCCACTTTTAACAGCTCTGTACATACATCAACTCCTGTAACCATTACAGTAGGCCCAATTAAATAGGTGCTGTTATGACTCTATTTTGCAGATAAGCAAACTGAGGCATGGGAAGGTGAAATGACTTGTCCAAGGTCACACAGCCAGATCAAAGCAGAGCCAGGATTCTTATGTACCAAACTCCCACATGACTGCTTCCATATTTGGCAATTATCTATACCTCTCCTACCTGCTTCAAGTCTTCTTATAATTCATAAAAGAAAGATAACACTCCACAGGAAGTTGCTGTTACATGCCTATCCCCCATGCTATGAATGTGAGGTATAGCCTTTAGCACTCTTTAAAACACTTTTACCTATGTGTCTTGTATCTATGGACAGTACATAGTATTTGTTTTTCATGTTTCCAACATTTATAAGTAGTAATACACTGTATTTCCTTTGGGCAACTTGCTGTCTCCCTCTCACTATGATGATTATGAGCTATGTTGTTAGAGATTAATCTCTTGGACTGCACCACCCAGTTCTGAGGCCGCTGGCTGCATTTGGCAATGAGCGCTTGAAATGTGGCTATTCAAATTGAGATGTGCTTTAAGTATAACATACATAGTGGATTTCCCAGACAGTATGAAAAACAGTAAAATACCTCTACTAATTTTTTAATATTGATTACAGGTTTAAATAATATTATGGAGATATTGATTTAAATAAATATATTACTGATATTAATTTCACCTGGGTTGCTTTTTGTTTTTTGTTTTTTTTTGTAATGTGGCTACTAGAAAATTGAAAACAGCATATGTGGCTTGCATTTATGGCTTATATTCACATCGGGGAGCTTTGATCTACCTCATACCTCTTAATTGCCATCAGCCTGGGTTTTGTTCATTGGTGAAGGGGCAAGCCCTACAACCTCCATAATAAGCCCTAATATTTACTGTTCACAGATACTTTTCTAAGTAACTTATCTGTGGGGTTCATAGGTGGCTCAGTCGGTTAAGCGTCCAACTTTGGCTCAGATCATGATCTCATGGTTTGTGAGTTTGAGCCCTGAGTCGGGCTCTGTGCTGACAGCTCTGCCTCAGAGCCTGGAACCTGCTTCGGATTCTGTGTCTCCTTCTCTCTCTGCCCCTCCCCCACTCGTGCTCTATCTCTCTCCGTCTCTCAAAAATAAATAAATGTAAAAAAAAATCTAAGTAACTTGTATGTAATACCCCACTCCGTCCTCGTGAGAGGGTGCAGGGCCGCATGGAATGAGGTCCCGTAGCTTCTCCGAAGTCACACAGGCTGAACTGGGCCTGGAGGCAGGCAGGCTGGCTCCACAGTCTTGGACTTGTAACTACCAACTTGACCGGGAAGGCTCTTTGAGCAACAGGGCAAATCTGCCCAAGAAAGTAATGACCCAGTAGCTGAACTTGGTGACGTCTCTGACAACACACAGTCCTTACATATCAGTGGCACATCTGCCTTTTTGGACCCTGGGCAGAGCAGTTAGGAACAGACACTTTTGTTGTGGCAGTTTCAGCTTTAATGAAGCCAGCACAGGCAGACTGCTCTGACATCTGCTCACGATGCTAGGAAGTCAGCTTTACTCTTGGCCACTAATTATATTAACTATTTTTAGGGCAAACTGTCAATGCACCCTACACGCTCACGCTTCCTACGTTTTCAATTTGTTTTCTTTAGCCATATCTATTTATACCCAAAGTGTTTTTTTTTTTAAAGAAATGTCCTCATTATTCTGCCAACAATAAAGTTGAGATTTGTAATTAAGTTACAAAACACCCCAGGAGGGAAAAGATGATGTGCAATTGCCATGGGTTTATTATTGACGAGTATCAGATTGCACTTGAATTCTGAATAAAAACTTCACTTTAACATTTCAAAACAACCACTGGAGACCCGAGGTCTCCTAGGTGTTGGTTAAGGTCATAGGTTTGGTGTCAGGCAGCTGTGTGACTCTGGGGCCGGCATCTTAACCATCATAAGCCTTGGTGTCCTCGTGTAAGAAATGAAGATACGGACATCTGCTTTCTGGAGCTTTTCGGTGGATTAAGTGGGATAACAATCGTGACTCTTCCTTGTACCTACTTTTATTCCACAGTGGCTGTGGTAATTACTATTATGATTACCCCATCATTATTTCCCAAGATGGCTCCATGCCATCTTCAAGCACACCTGGTCTGATCCCAACAAGCCTCTCTCCTCTGCTCTCTACCAAGACTCTTAAAACTCCTCCCTGAAATGGAGAGGTCCACGCGTAGCAAGAAGAAAACCGTACAGACCCTCCCTCCCCTTGCTCTTTCTCTGGGGCGCTCTGGACAGTTCTTGCTAAAGAATGCTGTAGTAAGGCCCGTCACTAAAGAGCCTCTACAGCACGCTCCCCAACTTCCTACTTCCTTCTACAGCCTGGCTTCCCAAGGATCTGCCTCCATAAACCTCTCCCGACACATCGGAAAACATTAGCAGCAGTGCCTTTCTTGGAAATAGTCACCTTGCTCTTAAGTGCTACGGCTCATCTTGCTGCCTGAATGTGGGCCTGCTTGCCTCTTTAAGACCCTTGATGGCAGACTGAGGAAGGTTGGGGCTTACCTAGCACACGTCCTCTCCCACTCCCTAGCTAAGCTTCGGATGGGTGTCCCAGTGCCCAGAAATTTATTATACAGGTCCCATATCATACTTGTTTTGAGAAATGTAATTACGAAACCACCAGAGGTCACCTCCCTCTGGCAAACCAGACCTTTGGAGGTCAACCGTGTATCTGAAGTTAGAAAGCAGTTGTCTGCCACGATCCCAAACTAAAGATTTTGCAGGTAAAGAAACTGAGACCTAGGGGCTTAAGGAACTGGCCTACAGGTATAGAGAATACCTGACCATTGACTTTCCTCTAGGATATATTTACTCCTGGCATTAGTCAATCCCCTTTTGCCTTGTATTGAAGTCAGGACAGCCTTCTCACCCCCTACCCCTACATTTAACATTGCATCTGTCATCCAGATGATCATATTCAATGTTAAATTACTAGTTCTTCCCCATCTAGCCACGCAGAGCTTTTAGACACATAAATTTCGGCTTGGTCAGGGTTTGGTGCATGTCCCCTGGAGGTACGTGCATGGTGTAGGTTCTTCATCTCTAGATTGTTAACGCTCGTAGAGCCCAGTGCTTTACCCTTAACAGGTACTGGGTAAGTGGTTTCCTCTGCGTGTGGTTCAAGTTGGCTCTTTGGGAGGCTTTCTCTGAGGGTGGGCCACGTGGCGCCTTATGTATCTCAGTCTTACTTTAGTTGCTGTCGGACTCTCTTCGTCATGGGAATATGAATAAGATGTTATTTCTGAAATAAACCTATTTCTGACTATTTAATAATTTAGCTGCCCCGTCTTACAACCAAATCCATGCCAACCCAGGCCCGTCAAACGCGGGTGGCACAAGAGCAACCCCGCCCATTGCCCCGCCCGTTGCCCCGCCCGCGCTGGTGCCCCGCCCACGCCCTAGTGCGCACGCGCACATTCTTCCTCCAGGTCCCGCCCTCCGTCCCGCGGGCTCCTGCGGGTGACGTCTAAAATCCGCGACGCTTTGGGGGAGCTGACCGCTGGGGTCCCGCTGACTGGCGGAGTCCCGAGCGGCATGGCCTCTGCCGGGGTGGCCGCCGGGCGGCAGGCCGAGGACGCGTTACCGCCGCCGGCCGAGCCGCCGCTGCCCGAGACAAAGCCGCTGCCGCCTTCGCAGCCGCCGCCTCCGGTCGCCGCGCCTCAGCCGCAGCAGTCCCCGGCGCCGAGGCCTCAGTCACCTGCCGGCGTGAAGGAGGAGGAGAATTACTCCTTTTTACCTTTGGTTCACAACATCATCAAATGGTAAGAGCCCAAGAGAGGACTGGCCACGACACGCCCCCCTCTCCCCCTCCCCCCCTCGCCTCTCGTCACCTGTTTCAGAGTCTCAGAGGCCTAGGTGCCCTCGGGTCCAGCCCCGTTTTACCCACGGGGAAGCGGACCCGGGGGGAAGAGGCCTTTCCCAAGACCACACCTGGTCGCACCGTGAGTCCTGCAGACGGTTGAGCCCCGAGTAGACCTCGTGGTGGCCAGGCGATCTTCCTAAAACTGAAGCCAGTTTAGAGACTGAATGCCCAGGCTCTGCAGTCAGACTGCTCAAGTTTGTATCCCAGTGATCCCAGCAAGTCAGGCTTCCCTGAGCCTCCGCCCTGTCACCTGCGATCCAGGAGTAGCACTCTGGTTCTGTGTTTTCAACACATCCACCAGATACGGGGCATTGACCCCGTGTGGCACACGGCTAGGTGCTGTGGGGTGTACACGGTAGAAAGGCCGGCTTTTCACCCCCACCTTGCTCGCAAGTTTGAAGGGGAAAAAAGACGTGAATGGGAATGACCGGTAATTCAAAGAGATTGGAGGGCTGGTGATAGGAAGTTTTAAAAGAAACAAAGATTCAAGCTGCCCTGCAGACTGTTCTTACAGATGCCAGACACAGGGGTCTGTATCATTCTTGGCCAGCCTTCGGGTCAGCCCGAGTTTTCAAACTGACCCTGTAAGGGAAAAAAAAAAAAAAAAATACAACCAAAAATCTTCTTGATCCCCGTGTTTGCCTAAATTATTTTTGCTGTCATGTTATTAAATCCACATGGTACCAGGCGTCAGCAAGGCTAACAACATACTCAACCATTACAAACCCAAACAAGGTAAATTAAAACAGTTACTGTTGCAGGTGGACATGAGGGTGCTCAGGGATGTTTCGCTGCGATGGAATTGCTCCCCACAACGTGGAAGTCCTGTCTGTCAGTGGCCCAGCGTCTTTTGAGCTTAGCCAGAATACATTCACTGGCTGTGGGATGACCTCCTGCGTCCACCAGTTTTCAAACAGCTGCCAAGCCTTCGTTCTCACATTAGACCCTGCCATCATTTGGCTTCACTCGGTGGGAGCAGTCTGCTTATGGGGTGAGGCAGACCCTGTTCTGTTCTCAGTGGCCCGCGCCATCCAGTAGCACTTGCAGGCGGCAGCGACATGGCAGAGAGACACAGTGCAGACCCCCAAATCCCAGGGCAGTTCTGGATTGCAAATGGGTTATCCACATGAACCCAAATGTATTGGTTTTAAGAAAAATGAAAACACAAGATGTACACAGTCTCAGACACACTTCCTGGCCCCCTGAGCATATATTCTTGCACCCCAGTGGAGCGGTTGGGTTGGGCTGGCCTTAAACATGGAGCAGTAAGGTACCCTAGAAAGTACGTGGGCTTTGAAGTCAGGTAGTCTGGGATTCAGATCCGCATCCTCATGTTTGCTTGCTTTGTATTCTTTGTAAATAGGTCACCTTTCCAGGCCTTAGTTCATGTCTCTAATACCTGAATACTAACAGTGGACCTCGGGGCGCCTGGATGGCGAAGTTGGTTAACCCTCCAGCTTCGGCTCAGGTCATGATCTCATGGATTGTGGGTTCAGGCCCCGCATCCACCTCTGTGCTGATAGCTCAGAGCCTGGAGCCTGCATCAGATTCTGTGTCTCCCTCTCTCTCTACCATCCTCCATTTGCTCACGCATGCGCGCTCACTCTCTCTCTCTCTCTCTCTGTCTCTCTCTCTCTCTCTGTCTCTCTCTCTCTCTCACACACACACACACACGCACACACAAATAGACATTTAAACAAAAATGGACCTCAAACAGTGGGTTCAGATTACAGCTTTATAGTGTTTGGGCAAGGTGATCTTAGCTTCTCTGAGTCTTTTCTCTTGTGAAATGGGATGACATACTTAAGTCCTAAGACTGTTGTCAGGTACACTCAAGAGCAGCGTCCTGGGAACGGTGGGGAGCTGATCACACGTGTTTATCTCTGTAACCTCTGAAAGGACGGTGAGGAGTTTTTTAAGGCATAAAACCAAAAGAAACAGGAGAGGAGACCGTTATCACCAAAGAGATGGCCAACGGCACATCCGTCCATCAGCCCCAAGAAGCATCCAGAAGCAGCTGCCTTTGACCCTGGCTTCCCCCCGAAGCTCAGGAATTGGCAGTTCCAGGGTCCTCCTGGAAATAGAGGTGAGGTAGAACGATGACCAGAGGGATTAAAGTCTGTTTAAGACTCGGATCCCATAGTTCGCTTCCCCACTCCCCGCAAACAGGTGCCTACACTCCATCCATCTTGGCAGACAAAGGATTACTTTATCCCAGGAGTTATTGTTAATGATAAGCCAGAGCGACCCTGGACTGGGGAACACCAAGCACATGGCAGGAATTAGAGAAAGGGAGCCAATCGTGAAAAGAGGGATTAAGAGAAAGTTCACAAACTGAATACTGAGACCCAGCTCTAGCTTTCTTCGCTGACCTGGCTTCCAGACTGGCAGCCAAGGACACACACCCCTTGTCTTGGAGTGTCTGATCAGCCCCAAAGAGAACCCACTGGGGGCTTGTCAAGAAAGAACTTAGTTCGTTTTAAGAAAGTAAAAAAAGCATCAGATTTACTAAGAGTTTGTACTCAGCCTTTTAATGTTTTGCTCTTTTTTTTTAATATTCTCCATTATTTATTCATACCCTGCTTTTTACTAACTATATAAAATACTTCTTTTCCATTAGCATTCAGCTTGCCCCTCCCCATCTGATACAAGTCAAAATCAACATTTTCTTTATCATAGGATCACATCTTTTTCTTCTTTCATTTAGTATGGTGAAAGCAGTGTCTTAGGCACATAATCCAAATAGTATTTTACTCATAAGTACATGACTGGGCAGCCAAGATCACCAAGCATGTGAAGAAAAGCCCTAGCAAAAGATGGGACAGAACAGAAGAGCAAAAATCCACTTGGAGGAAAATGACAAAGGGAGAAGAAAGATGCCATCACCGTGAAAAAAAGCTGGCATGTGATTTTAACGTCTGGAGAAGTGTGTGTTTGGGTCTTTAAGCTACCGCGGGAAGGGCACAGACCGCGGTGGGGCCCGTGAAGGCCAAGGAGGCCTTGAGAAGCCTGGAGGAGCCGGAAGGCTCGCTAGGACTGATGCCAGCAGGCATCCTGAATTATGACGGGGAGGAGGAGCGGAGCAGGTAGGGCAAGGCCAAGGACGTGCCGTGGCAGCCTGGCGGGGCCGGGGCCTAAACGCGGGGCAGTGTGGGATAGCTGGAGAAACGGATAGAGCCAGCTTGCCGAGGACGGGGAGGGAGGCTCTGTCCTCTGAGGAGTGGGCAGCCAGGGAGCCCTCCCCCCGTGGAGTCTTAGGTCGGTGCCCCAGATGGGGGTGACCTCTCCGCCTAGAGCCAGTGAGGACGCTGTCCCGGCAGGCCTGGCCCGAGGGAATGAGGGCCAGGACCTGCGCGGTCACACAGGCCCTTGATCTCTTCCTCCCATCGGAGCTGACAGCTCAGAGCCTGGAACTTATTACTTCGCATTCTGTGTCTCCCTCTCTCTCTGTTCCTCACCCACTTGCACTCCGTAAAAAAAATAAACACTACAGTCGTAGGGGCACCTAGGTGGCTCAGTCAGCTCTCGATTTCAGCTCAGGTCATGATCTCATGGTTCATGAGTCTGAGCCCCACGTCAGGCTCTGTGCTGGCAGCATGTAGCCTGCTTGGGAATTTCTCTCTCTCTCCCTCTCTTTACCTTTCCCCACTCGCATGCGAGCTTGCACTCACTCTCTTTCTCAAAATAAATAAATAAACTTAAAAATTACAGTTGTAAAAAAAATTAAAAATTTCAGCTGTGGCTGTATTCAAAGAGCACCCATAGATACAAAATGGCAAGTGAGCCTCTCCCCCCCCCCCGCCCCCTGTCCCCAAGCTGCACCATCCTCCGTTTCACGCTTATGCCATCATCTCCTTCAACAGCTCCCTGCTCAAGGACACTCTCTTGTTTCTGGCATTTTGCTGTTGCAGCCTGCGCTGCACTGACCCTCTTTGTGACTGCCATCTTGGAAACTCTTGAGTCTCGGGCAAATTTCTAGCAAAGGAATATGTCACTATGAGCAAATTCAGAAAGACTCCACCAGTGTAGGCTTTACCAGCCGCGCATTTGTGTCTTTTCTCCTATCCCTGCCGTCACCATCAAACTTTTTAACTGGAGCTAATCTGATATAGGTCAGAGAGATAACGATCTGTGTCTTGTTTTATCACATAAAGCATCTTTCATAATACAATGTCTTGTGTCATTTGTATTTTTTCCCTGCAAACTGCCCATCTTCTGTTAGGTCATTTCTCTTTTAATGAAGTCTTTGTACAGTGAGGAAGGTATGCCTTTGTCTGTCAAGTGTATTATAAATACTTCCCCCAAGTTGATTTTCTTTGCCTTTGTTCCTGGGTTTTGTTTGTTTGTGTGTTTTGGTCATTCGGAATCATATTTTATGTAAGCGGATTTGTTAAGCTTTACCTTTATGGCTTCTGAATTTTGGTCTTCGCTGGAAAGGCCTTCCTACTCTGATAAAATGATAAATATTGATCGCTTTTTCCTAGGACTTTTCTGGTTTCATTTTTTACTTTCAGTTCTCTGAAGCTTCTGGAATTTATTTTGATTGGAAAAAAGGGGCCCTCCCTTTTCTCCATGAGCTGCGTCTTCCCACTGCTCTTACTCAATATTCATTGTTTCCTCTGCTTGAGTCACCGCCTTTATCATACACTGAATCTCCACATGTTTTATGATCTACTTCTGGACATTCTGTTCTCCAGCAGCAAAGTGTTTTACTTCTTAAGTCTTCATGGCGCATTTAATGATCTCTCCACGCTGCTCTTCCTGCTTTCCTTTCTTGGCAACATTTACCCATAGCACCTTGACCTTTCCCGGCCTGCTTCCTGTAGCCGGTCTGAGATGCTGGGAGATGCTGAGATTTGGTTTGTGGAACATTTAGGCTTCAATCTGACCTTTTACCTC